TGTATGTGTGTGTGTGTGTGTGTGTGTGTGTGTGTGTGTGTGTGTGTGTGTGTGTGTGTATGTGCGTGTGTGTGTTTGGCGGTGGGGGGTGGGGCGACCCTCCCCCAACCAACCAACCAACCAATCAATCAATCAATCAATCAAAAAAAAAATCAATCGATCAATGATCAATCAATCAATCAATCAATCATCAATCAATCAATCAATCAATCAATCATCAATCAATCAATCGATCAATCAATCAATCAATCAATCAATCAATCAATCGATTTTTTTAATTTTTTTTACTCTGAAACCCCAGCACCCCCGCCACCCCCACCAAGCCCCCCAAACAAACTTTTTTTTTTTCGTTTTTTTTTTTACTTTGGGGGGTAGCACCCGGCATGCACACACCCTCCCCACCCCCCCACATGTCAGAACCCTCGGGGAGGGACGCCGAATCGACTCATACGACCGTACGTACAGCCCGTATGGCCGCCTGGGGGGCCGTACGTACGGTCGTATGGGCCGTACAGACGCTCCGAATCTGTACGGAGATCTACACAGACGCTGCCCGATCACTTGTTGGCATCGTACGTCACTGGTCTCAGAATCCAACGTGGATGGCTTTAGCCGAAGGCTATGCGCCCATTGTTCTTCCTCCGAGCGAGTTCGCCGGATGAAGCCAGAACCTTGGTACTCGTGGTCTTGCAAGCACTCCGAGCACATTGGGGCAAGTAAGGAGCGATTGTGAGCCAAAGGACAATGGTGATGGAGTGGTAGGGTAGGATGCGGTGATAGGGAGGGAATTCGGTCTCTAAGAAAATGATTCCAGACTCTGTGAGGATGTGACATGTGTATGGGCTAGAGTAGCGGGAGAGATGGGGGTTGCATCCCAAGGCCTGGTCGAGGTCCCACTCGCAAATATGTTCGTTCCCCGTCAGGTAAGGGAAGTTCGGAGGTTTTGCACAGGGTCGCACAGACAAGCAAAAGTGTTCCCAATGTTCCCAAAATTCCAGATCCCTCAAACACTCGCGGTCAGTGACACGAAAGGGAATGCCGAATTCATGCTGCAAGTAGGGGGGGGGGCATCATCCATTCGGGAGGTTAGTCACGTCCGGGTTTTGCAGACACGCTCGTACGCAGTGATCCTCGTGAACGGACCTACGTGTGCGTGCGAGGGGCCCATCCTCGATCGGGTAGGTGAAAATCAGCGAGACATGTGAGGGGTCGTCTTTCTAGAGAGATCGTCATCTGCCATGCCTACCCTATTCACACACGGACAGAATCGCGCATATCTATCATCCATGCAGCTAGCTCACATACAACTAGAAAGAACAGAGGATCATGCAACAATTTTTTGGCCGATCATCCGAGAGATCACACGAGCCTCGATTACTGATAACCAACCGATCAGATTTGCCAATTCAAAAAGACAGAGAGTGGGAGAAAACAGCCGTGCATCAATCTCTGAAAAAAAACAAAGGAAAAATCCGAGATACCGATCCAAAAGGACAAGGGTGTCCTGCGCCGTATATCAAAATTGCTCCGAAGGATAGGGGAAAAACCAAAATTACTCGGAGGGATAGAAGAGAACACCACCACGACACATCCTCTCTCTCTCTCTCTCTCTCTCTCTCTCTCTCTCTCTCTCTCTCTCTCTCTCTCTCTCTCTCTCTCTCTCTCTCTCTATCTATCTATCTATCTATCTCTATCTCTATCTCTTTTCACAACATCCCAATGCGGGCAATCTGTTGCCTCCCACCTACACAGAGCTGTCACCCCGCTTAGTCCGGGCATGCCAGCCAGGTTTGCCCGTGTGCCACAGTCCGTCGCGGCCCCACGTCAACCCCGCATGCCCAACACTAGCTCGTCGGATCGCCCAACTCTCTAGTCACCTTCCAAGTCTCGCTTGTTAGTCGATCCTCTCGGCCACGCTAATTCCAGCTGTGTTACCGTGTGTTCATTGAACGCGCGTTCCGCGTTCAGGTTCTGAACGCACTTAACGTGCGTTCAGTGAACGCCGGTAGATGCGATTGACGCGTTTGCGCAGGGGGTTGTGCGGGGTGGGGGGGGCCTGCGGGAAGCAGCGGCGGTACTTGGGGGGGGTTGTGGGGTACTGGCTCATGCCCCTGGGTGAACCGCTGGAACCGGCCTTAAAAAAAAAAAAAAAAAAAAAAAGGTGAGAACTCGCATTTCCGCGCTGTGGTGTTTATAAGCGGGCCGCTGCGCGTTCAAACGGGCCTCACTCCTACGCTGCGCATTCGAGCGTTGCCTGCCTCCGTTGGCATGCTCGTGCACGCGCAGAGAGACAGATAGTGTCTGCGTGATCTGCAGATCAGCCAGGGAATCAGTACTGTCCTGTCTCACTCCCAGCTAACCTGTGCTTAGGACAACCTTGTCTGATCCGGAGTGCATTGAAGTGAAGTTTTGTTTCGGTCACATTGTCCCAGTGTAGGATCTGTTTTACATAAGCCAAACCGGCTAATGTTGTCGGGATTACTCGGGGTTGAATTGTGAGGTCCCCGGCCTCGATTCATATTTTCGTTGAGAATATAGGGCTCATTCGGGGACCCCTACCCCATCCACGGTCCTCCCAGTCGGACCGGCCGGTGGCCCGGGCCGGTTCCCTACCGGTCGCCCCCAGCGCATTTTTGCTAGGGCCTGAATTTTTTTTTTTGGCGGCGCGAACATATGAAGGAGGCCTCGTGGGGTTGGGCCCTGCCTCAAATAAACGAAACCGGGTCGTGTAGGCCCGTGTTTTCGAACTCCAAAAAGTGGTCAATCTTGGCCGCCGATCGTCGCATATCAGCGACAAAGATCGGTCACTTTTTTGAAATCGATGTGGCGGGAAACCGATCGTGCAGCGGGGGAAAGCGCATCGCGCGTTCAACCCCACTCACCTTTGGTCTGTGCAGCCGCTCCACTCCGTCGTCGCCTCCAACAGCCGGCCGTGGCATTGTCGCCACCGCCAACCAGCCGCGCCATCACTCAATGCAGCGGTCATTGTTTGTAGGTCTCCGCGGGGTGCAGCATCGCCATCGTCGCCTCCGTCAGCCAGCCGCGCCGTCACGCCCCCCCGCCAACGAGCCACTCCATCACGCCCCCCAAGTTTGTTTCTTCTTCTTCTTCTTCTTCTTCTTCTTCTTCTTCTTCTTCGTGGTCACTCTCCTCGCCCGTTAGCCACAGTCATCCTCCGCTTCTTCTTCTTCTTCTTCTTCTTCTTCTACCTCCTCCTCCTCATCTCTGGTCCTCCTCTCTTAGCCATCGGCTCGAGTTCTTCTTCTTCTTCTTCCTCCTCCTCCTCCTCCTCCTCCTCTTCTTCTCCTCCTCCCTCTTCTTCGTCGTCTTCTTGAAGTTCTTGTTCTTCCTCCTCCTCCTCCTCTCCTTCTCCTCCTCCGTTAGCCATACCTGTTGTTTTTTGTTTTTTGTTTTTCGTTGCTGCCTCAAGGCCCCTGTTTTCACTCTTCTTCTTCTTCTTCTTCTTCTTCTTCTTCTTCTTCTTCTTCTTCTTCTTCGTCGTCGTCGTCGTCGTCGTCGTCGTCGTCGTCTTATTCTTCTTCTTTTTCTTCTTCCTCCTCCTCCTCCTCCTCTTCTTCTCTCCGCTCTTCTTTGTCATTTTCTTCTTCCTCCTCCTCCTCCTCTTCCTCTTCTCCTCCCTCTTCTTCGTCATCTTCTTCTTCTTCTCCCTCCTCCTCCTCATCATCATCATCATCATCTCCTCCACGTCCGTTAGGTGTAGCCGTTTTTGTTTTTTTTTTGTCATTGCTGCTTTAACTCCCTTGCGTTTTGCTTCTTCTTCTTCTTCTCCCTCCTCCTCCTCCTCCTCCTCTTCTCCTCCCGCTTCTTCGTCATCTTCTTCTTCTTCTCCCTCCTCCTCCTCCTCCTCCTCCTCCTCTTCATCTCCTCCTCGTCCATTAGCCATAGCCTTTTTTTTTTTTTTTTTTTTTCGTTGCTGCTTTAACTACCTTTGCATTCTTCTTCTTCTTCTTCTTCTTCTTCTCCTCCTCCTCCCCCTCCTTCTTCTCTCCCCTCTTCTTCGTCATTTTCTTCTTCCTCCTCCTCCTCCTCTTCTTTTTCTCCTCCCTCTTCTTCGTCATCTTCTTCTTCTTCTCCCTCCTCCGCCTCCTCTTCATCTCCTCC